AATACAGGTAGCTATTGCTATGTTTTGTTTAGAGACTATAATAACATTGCAGTTAGGCCACATCAATTTGTTAATTGTTTACTAGACGAAAAAGATAAAGGGATTCCAGAATTTGCTTCCTGTTTGATTTTTTATTGAGCAAAATATTGATATTTTATTAATTTACTAAAAGATTGAATGGTTTCCAAATTCAAAATTATGGAAAAAGCTCAATGATTCAGGCATTTTGGTGACTGGATTGAGTTTGGTTAAATAAGTGTATTGTATCCAAAATTTTTGCAGAAAAATCCAAAAAAAGAAAAAATGATGTGGCTTCATTCTTAATTGTATATTATATTCATTAGAAATCTTCACATTTATAGGTCTATCTTTTATTTAAGAAAAATTTCTTTACTAAATTATTCTTCCTAGTCTTTAAGAACTTATGTATTCGAAGACAGATAAGGGAATTAATATTTATCAGAGTCTCACATTTTTTTTCTTGAAAGGCCCCGTAAATCAAATCAAATATTTTTATTGTCATATAAATTTTACAGTTTGTGACCAACATATATTAACACAATAAACATATATACATACATATCAAACATACACAATAAAAAACAGCATCAAAATTTATAACAACAAACAAGCTGTTAAGAGTCCCCTGCCCTCAGTTCTAATGACTTTTTCAAGTAGGATCCTAACTTATTTGTTTGTAAAGGCATTGATGGATTTAATAAATAATGATTTTTTTCTTCTTCAGTTAAATTATTAAAGTTATTATTTTCAGAACATATGTGTTGAAAAAAGGCATTTCTTAAGAGTTTTATTATAATCACAATAGAGTAAAAAATGTTTCTCATCCTCTAGTATTTTATATTTATGACAAAGTCGTTCCTCTCTTGGAAATATCTCCCCTTTTCAATCAAGAGGGAGTGATCACTTATTCTAAATTTAGTGATTAATCTCCTTATCTGAAAATTAGATATATTTAAATAAGATTCGAGTTTGTAATCTTTTTTAAGTTTTTTATATAGATATAATTTACTTTTATCATCAATGTTTTCAAATTTAGTTTCAATTAAATCTTCATATCTATTTTTTATTTTCAAATTTAAATCGTTTTTTATTTTATTTACATCTTTTATGTCCTTACAAGTAGAAAGAATATTAAGGTCAATATTAGTCTCTTCAACAATATTTTTTGCATATGTATACCCTGAATAAGTTCCCGTCAAATCTAGAGACTGTGTTAGTGAAAAAGCTTCCTTTATCAATGTATTAATATTATTATTATATAGTCTAGCTAAATATAAAATGGTTTGTGTTTTAATAAAACATTCTATAGGCAATCTCCCTAATTCAACTCTTGCTCCTAAATTGGATGCATTTTTTCTTATTCCTAAAGTAGATTTACAAAATTTAAGATGAATATTTTCAATAGGGGTTTTGTCTGTAAAATCAAGTTGATTAATTTGTTTTCCTGAAGATAAGGCTCTGTTTTTGGCTCTATGAAAAGAAATATATGTATCCAAATATGTTACTTCTGAATTATAGGTCATAATTGGTTTTACTAAGGAATCAAAAAAGATTATTTGCTACTTTAATAGGTAGATTATTCAATGATTTAGTATAGGATTTTATTGCAAAAAATACTTTTTTTGCCTTTTTTGTCAGCTCTAAAGTACTTTGTGATAAATTTCCATTACATTTTATCAACATTCCCAAAAATGAATATTCTGATACGCTCTCTATGGCTTTATTCTCATAGTAAATATGTGAAATTTCATCATTTTGTTTTGACTGACTAAAAATCATGGATTTAGTTTTGTTTGTATTCAAAGAGAGTTGCCATTTGTTGCAATATAATTTAACATTATTTAAACTGTTTTGAAGACCCTCTTTCGATTCTGACAGGATTAAAAGATCATCTGCAAAAAGGAGGCATCCCACCTTACTATTTATAAGCTTAAGGGGACTTGAATCATTTCCCTCAAAATTAATAAATACTATTTTACCAACTATATGGAAATTTACTTTTAAAAAGAAATTTGATTTTTATAAGAAATGTTTTGGTTGTTAAATTTATTTTATGATTTTTTTAGCTCACCTGGCCCTAAGGGAAAAGTGAGCTTTTCTCATCACTTGGTGTCCATTGTCGTCGTCGTCCGTCAACCATCGTCGTCTGTTAATTTTTACAAAAATCTTCTCCTCTGAAACTACTAGGGTATCTAGTTTAAAAAATGAGTATGATGACCCTGCCTACCAACCAAGATGGCTGCCATGGCTAAAAATAGAACATAGGGGTAAAATGCAGTTTTTGGCTTATATCTCGGTAACTAAAGCATTTAGAGCAAATCTGACATGAGGTAAAAATGTTCATCATGTTAAGATCTATCCACCCTGGAATTTTCAGACGAATCAAACAACCAGTTGTTGGGTTGCTGCCCCTGAATTGGTGATTTTAAGGAAATTTTGCAGTTTTTATACGACCGCAAAAATTAATAATTTTTGGTCATATATTGGTATCACGTCATTGTCGTCGTCGTCGTTAGCGTCGTTCGAAGACGGATGGTTTCCGGATAATAACTTTAGTATAAGTTAATAGAAATCAGTAAAATTTTAAGGTAAGGTTTATAACCAATTAAGGAAGGGAGGGATATATTTTGGGGGTTTTGGTCCCAATAGTTTAGGAACAAGGGGTCAAAATAAGTATTTTTTTAGTTTCGAGACAATAACTTGTGTGTAAGTGTGTGGATCTTTCTGAAATTGTACCACAAGTTTCCATTTCAAAAAAGGAAGGTTGGGATTGATTTTGGGGGATATAGCCCAAACTGTTTAGGAGTTAGGGGCCAAAAACAATACTTTTGTTTAATTGAGGTCTGGAGCTGACATGTCAGTTAACTGCTAGTAGTCTGTTGTTATTTATGTACTATTGTCATTTTGTTTATTTTCTTTTGTTACATCTTCTGACATCGCACTCAGACTTCTCTCGAAATGAATTTTAATGTGCATATTGTTATGCGTTTACTTTCCTACATTGGCTGGAGGTATAGGGGGAGGGTTGAGATCTCATAAACATGTTTAACCCCGCTGCATTTTTGCCCCTGTCCCAAGTCAGGAGCCTCTGGCCTTTGTTAGTCTTGTATTGTTTTTAATTTTAGTTTCTTGTGTATAATTTTGAGTTTAGTATGACGTCCATTATTACTGAACTAGTATATATATTTGTTTATGGGCCAGCTGAAGGATGCCTCCGGGTGCGGGAATTTCTCGCTGCATTGAAGACCTATTGGTGACCTTCTGCTGTTGTCTGTTCTATGATCAGGTTGTTGTCTCTTTGACACATTCCCCATTTCCATTCTCAATTTTATTTTCTAATACTTTGTTTAAATTGCTTATTCAATTGGGTTTTATTCTTGAATTCTTGGGGTTCTTAAATATGCTGAATCTAACCATGTATTAAGTTTTTGGAATTTGGTCCTCGTTTTTGAATTGGTCTACATGAGGATCAAAGGGTCCAAAATTAAACTTTGTTTGATTTCATCAAAAATTGAATAAATGAGGTTGTTTGATATGCAGAATATAACCGTGTATTAAAATTTGAGTCCCGTTTTCAAATTGGTCTACATTATGGTCCAAAGGGTCCAAAATAAAACTTTAGTTTGATTTTAACAAAAATTGAATTCTTGGGGTTCATTGATATGCTGAATCTAAACATGTATTTAGATTTTTATACACCCGTCAAATTTTTGACGGGACGTATTATGGTATACAAATGTCTGGCGTCCATCCGTTGTCTGTCCGTCTGTCTGTCCATCTGTCCGTCTGTCTGTCCGGCGTAAACATGTCGCACCGTAACTTGAGAATGAATTATCCAAATTTCATGAAACTTAACATAGTTGTTTCTTATGATGGTCAAACGATCTGTATACTTTTTGGTGAAAATAAGATTAAAACTTTTGGAGTTACTAAAACAGGTGTGTGTTTTTTTTTCACATGTCGCACCATATCTCAAAAACAATTTATGATTATTGCTTAAAAACTTTACACGCTTCTTAGTTATATTAATCTTAAGATCTGTATACTTTTTGGTGATGATTCAAAATTTTATTTTAGAGATATTGAGTATTTTGTTAAAAAAGGGGGAGGGGTTTTTCACATGTCGCGCTGTATCTCAAAAACAGTTTATGATTATTGCTTAAAACTTTACACACTTCTTAGTTATATTAACCTTAAGATCTGTATACTTTTTGGTGATGATTCAAAATTTTATTTTTGAGTTATTGAGTATTTTGTAAAAAAAGGGGAGGGGTTTTTCACATGTCGCGCCGTATCTCAAAAACGATTTATGATTATTGCTTAAAATTTTACACACTTCTTAGTTATATTAATCTTAAGATCTGTATACTTTTTGGTTTTGATTCAAAATTTTATTTTTGAGATATTGATTTTTTTTTTAAAAGGGGGGTTTTCACATGTCGCGCCGTATCTCAAAAACGATTTATGATTATTGCTTAAAATTTTTCTTAGTTATATTAATCTAAAGATCTGTATACTTTTTGGTTTTGATTCAAAATTTTATTTTAGAGATATTGAGTTTTTTGTAAAAAAAAAGGGTGTTTTCGCATGTCTCGCCAAATGTCAGAAACTATTTATGCTTATTGCATAAAAATTCACACACAAGACGACGGGCGTATCATGCGCTCATGGTGCAGCTGTTTATTCATTATGGGCCCAGTTTTCAAGTTGGTCCAAATTGGGGTCCAAAATTTAACTTTGTTTGATTTCAACAAAAATTGAATGTATGGGGTTCTTTGGTATGCTAAATCTAACCATGTACTTAGATTTTTGATTTTTGGGCCCTGTTATCAAATTGGTCCACATTGAGGTCAAAAAGGTCCAAAATTAAACTTTGTTTGATTTCATCAAAAATTGAATTCTTGGGATTCTTTGATATGCTGAATCAATCCATGGCCATGTATTTAGATTTTGGATATTGGACCATAATAGGTAAATTTAATTTTTTAGCTCACCTGGCCCGAAGGGCCAAGTGAGCTTTTCTCATCACTTGGCGTCCGTCGTCCGTCGTCCGTCGTCGTCCGTCGTCGTCCGTCATCTGCGTAAACTTTTTACATTTTGAACTTCTTCTAGAGAACCACTGAATGGAATGAAACCAAACATGGCATGAATGTTCCTTATGAGGTGCTGACCAAGTGTTGTTACTTTGTAGCCGATCCATCATCCAAGATGGCCACCAGCGGGGGACTTAGTTTAACAAAGGACCCTATGGGAAATGCATACAAATGACTTCTTTTAGAGAACCACTGAATGGAATGAAACCAAACATGGCATGAATGTTTCTTATGAGGTGCTGACCGAGTGTTGTTACTTTGAAGCCGATCCATAATCCAAGATGGCAGCCAGCGGGGGACTTAGTTTAACAAAGGACCCTATGGGAAATGCATACAAATGTCTTCTTTTAGAGAACCACTGAATGGAATGAAACAAAACATAGCATGAATGTTCATTAGGAGGTGCTGACCAAGTGTTGTTACTTTGTACTTGATCCATCATCCAAGATGGCCGCCAGCGGGGGACTTAGTTTAACATAGGACCCTATGGGAAATGCATACAAATGACTTCTTTTAGAGAACCACTGAATGGAATGAAACAAAACATAGCATGAATGTTCCTTACAAGGTGCTGACCAAGTGTTGTTACTTTGTAGCCATTCCATCATCCAAAATGGCCGCCAGCGAGGGACATAGTTTAACATAGGACCCTATGGGAAAGGCATACAAATGACTTCTTTTAGAGAACCACTGAATGGAATGAAACAAAACATAGCATGAATGTTCATTAGGAGGTGCTGACCAAGTGTTGTTACTTTGTAGCCGATCCATCATCCAAGATGGCCGCCAGCGGGGGACTTAGTTTAACATAGGACCCTATGGGAAATGCATACAAATGACTTCTTTTAGAGAACCACTGAATGGAATGAAACAAAACATAGCATGAATGTTCCTTACAAGGTGCTGACCAAGTGTTGTTACTTTGTAGCCGTTCCATCATCCAAAATGGCCGCCAGTGAGGGACTTAGTTTAACATAGGACCCTATGAGAAATACATACAAATGTCTTCTTTTAGAGAACCACTGAATGGAATGAAACCTAACATGGCAAGAATGTTCCTTATGAGGTGCTGACCAAGTGTTGTTACTTTGAAGCCGATCCATCATCCAAGATGGCAACCAGTGGGGGACTTAGTTTAACATAGGATCCTATGGGAAATACATACAAATGTTTTCTTTTAGAGAACCACTGAATGCAATGAAACCAAACATGGCATGAATGTTCCTTATGAGGTGCTGACCGAGTGTTGTTACTTTGAAGCCGATCCATAATCCAAGATGGCCGCCAGCGGGGGACTTAGTTTAACATGGGACCCTATGGGAAATACATACAAACGTCTTCTTTTAGAGAACCACTGAATGGAATGAAACAAAACATAGCATGAATGTTCATTAGGAGGTGCTGACCAAGTGTTGTTACTTTGTAGCCGATCCATCATCCAAGATGGCCGCCAGCGGGGGACTTAGTTTAACATAGGACCCTATGGGAAATGCATACAAATGACTTCTTTTAGAGAACCACTGAATGGAATGAAACAAAACATAGCATGAATGTTCCTTACAAGGTGCTGACCAAGTGTTGTTACTTTGTAGCCGTTCCATCATCCAAAATGGCCGCCAGTGAGGGACTTAGTTTAACATAGGACCCTATGAGAAATACATACAAATGTCTTCTTTTAGAGAACCACTGAATGGAATGAAACCTAACATGGCAAGAATGTTCCTTATGAGGTGCTGACCAAGTGTTGTTACTTTGAAGCCGATCCATCATCCAAGATGGCAACCAGTGGGGGACTTAGTTTAACATAGGATCCTATGGGAAATACATACAAATGTTTTCTTTTAGAGAACCACTGAATGCAATGAAACCAAACATGGCATGAATGTTCCTTATGAGGTGCTGACCGAGTGTTGTTACTTTGAAGCCGATCCATAATCCAAGATGGCCGCCAGCGGGGGACTTAGTTTAACATGGGACCCTATGGGAAATACATACAAATGTCTTCTTTTAGAGAACCACTGAATGGAATGAAACCAAACATGGCAAGAATGTTCCTTATGAGGTGCTGACCAAGTGTTGTTACTTTGAAGCCGATCCATCAACCAAGATGGCAGCCAGCGGGGGACTTAGTTTAACATAGGACCCTATGGGAAATACATACAAATGTTTTCTTTTAGAGAACCACTGAATGCAATGAAACCAAACATGGCATGAATGTTCCTTATGAGGTGCTGACCAAGTGTTGTTACTTTGTAGCCGATCCATCATCCAAGATGGCAACCAGCGGGGGACTTAGTTTAACATAGGATCCTATGGGAAATACATACAAATGTTTTCTTTTAGAGAACCACTGAATGCAATGAAACCAAACATGGCATGAATGTTCCTTATGAGGTGCTGACCGAGTGTTGTTACTTTGAAGCCGATCAATAATCCAAGATGGCCGCCAGCGGGGGACTTAGTTTAACATGGGACCCTATGGGAAATACATACAAACGTCTTCTTTTAGAGAACCACTGAATGGAATGAAACCTAACATGGCAAGAATGTTCCTTATGAGGTGCTGACCAAGTGTTGTTACTTTGAAGCCGATCCATCATCCAAGATGGCAACCAGCGGGGGACTTAGTTTAACATAGGATCCTATGGGAAATACATACAAATGTTTTCTTTTAGAGAACCACTGAATGCAATGAAACCAAACATGGCATGAATGTTCCTTATGAGGTGCTGACCGAGTGTTGTTACTTTGAAGCCGATCCATAATCCAAGATGGCCGCCAGCGGGGGACTTAGTTTAACATGGGACCCTATGGGAAATACATACAAACGTCTTCTTTTAGAGGACCACTGAATGGAATGAAACCAAACATGGCAAGAATGTTCCTTATGAGGTGCTGACCAAGTGTTGTTACTTTGAAGCCGATCCATCAACCAAGATGGCAACCAGCGGGGGACTTAGTTTAACATAGGATCCTATGGGAAATACATACAAATGTTTTCTTTTAGAGAACCACTGAATGGAATGAAACCAAACATGGCATGAATGTTCCTTATGAGGTGCTGACCAAGTGTTGTTACTTTGTAGCCGATCCATCATCCAAGATGGCCGCCAGCGGGGGACTTAGTTTAACAAAGGACCCTATGGGAAATGCATACAAATGACTTCTTTTAGAGAACCACTGAATGGAATGAAACCAAACATGGCATGAATGTTTCTTATGAGGTGCTGACCGAGTGTTGTTACTTTGAAGCCGATCCATAATCCAAGATGGCAGCCATCGGGGGACTTAGTTTAACAAAGGACCCTATGGGAAATGCATACAAATGTCTTCTTTTAGAGAACCACTGAATGGAATGAAACAAAACATAGCATGAATGTTCATTAGGAGGTGCTGACCAAGTGTTGTTACTTTGTAGTTGATCCATCATCCAAGATGGCCGCCAGTGGGGGACTTAGTTTAACATAGGACCCTACGGGAAATGCATACAAATGACTTCTTTTAGAGAACCACTGAATGGAATGAAACAAAACATAGCATGAATGTTCCTTACAAGGTGCTGACCAAGTGTTGTTACTTTGTAGCCATTCCATCATCCAAAATGGCCGCCAGCGAGGGACATAGTTTAACATAGGACCCTATGGGAAAGGCATACAAATGACTTCTTTTAGAGAACCACTGAATGGAATGAAACAAAACATAGCATGAATGTTCATTAGGAGGTGCTGACCAAGTGTTGTTACTTTGTAGCCGATCCATCATCCAAGATGGCCGCCAGCGGGGGACTTAGTTTAACATAGGACCCTATGGGAAATGCATACAAATGACTTCTTTTAGAGAACCACTGAATGGAATGAAACAAAACATAGCATGAATGTTCCTTACAAGGTGCTGACCAAGTGTTGTTACTTTGTAGCCGTTCCATCATCCAAAATGGCCGCCAGTGAGGGACTTAGTTTAACATAGGACCCTATGAGAAATACATACAAATGTCTTCTTTTAGAGAACCACTGAATGGAATGAAACCTAACATGGCAAGAATGTTCCTTATGAGGTGCTGACCAAGTGTTGTTACTTTGAAGCCGATCCATCATCCAAGATGGCAACCAGCGGGGGACTTAGTTTAACATAGGATCCTATGGGAAATACATACAAATGTTTTCTTTTAGAGAACCACTGAATGCAATGAAACCAAACATGGCATGAATGTTCCTTATGAAGTGCTGACCGAGTGTTGTTACTTTGAAGCCGATCCATAATCCAAGATGGCCGCCAGCGGGGGACTTAGTTTAACATGGGACCCTATGGGAAATACATACAAACGTCTTCTTTTAGAGAACCACTGAATGGAATGAAACCAAACATGGCAAGAATGTTCCTTATGAGGTGCTGACCAAGTGTTGTTACTTTGAAGCCGATCCATCAACCAAGATGGCAGCCAGCGGGGGACTTAGTTTAACATAGGATCCTATGGGAAATACATACAAATGTTTTCTTTTAGAGAACCACTGAATGGAATGAAACCAAACATGGCATGAATGTTCCTTATGAGGTGCTGACCAAGTGTTGTTACTTTGTAGCCGATCCATCATCCAAGATGGCCGCCAGCGGGGGACTTAGTTTAACAAAGGACCCTATGGGAAATGCATACAAATGACTTCTTTTAGAGAACCACTGAATGGAATGAAACCAAACATGGCATGAATGTTTCTTATGAGGTGCTGACCGAGTGTTGTTACTTTGAAGCCGATCCATAATCCAAGATGGCAGCCAGCGGGGGACTTAGTTTAACAAAGGACCCTATGGGAAATGCATACAAATGTCTTCTTTTAGAGAACCACTGAATGGAATGAAACAAAACATAGCATGAATGTTCATTAGGAGGTGCTGACCAGGTGTTGTTACTTTGTAGTTGATCCATCATCCAAGATGGCCGCCAGCGGGGGACTTAGTTTAACATAGGACCCTATGGGAAATGCATACAAATGACTTCTTTTAGAGAACCACTGAATGGAATGAAACAAAACATAGCATGAATGTTCCTTACAAGGTGCTGACCAAGTGTTGTTACTTTGTAGCCGTTCCATCATCCAAAATGGCCGCCAGTGAGGGACTTAGTTTAACATAGGACCCTATGAGAAATACATACAAATGTCTTCTTTTAGAGAACCACTGAATGGAATGAAACCTAACATGGCAAGAATGTTCCTTATGAGGTGCTGACCAAGTGTTGTTACTTTGAAGCCGATCCATCATCCAAGATGGCAACCAGCGGGGGACTTAGTTTAACATAGGATCCTATGGGAAATACATACAAATGTTTTCTTTTAGAGAACCACTGAATGCAATGAAACCAAACATGGCATGAATGTTCCTTATGAGGTGCTGACCGAGTGTTGTTACTTTGAAGCCGATCCATAATCCAAGATGGCCGCCAGCGGGGGACTTAGTTTAACATGGGACCCTATGGGAAATACATACAAACGTCTTCTTTTAGAGAACCACTGAATGGAATGAAACCAAACATGGCAAGAATGTTCCTTATGAGGTGCTGACCAAGTGTTGTTACTTTGAAGCCGATCCATCAACCAAGATGGCAGCCAGCGGGGGACTTAGTTTAACATAGGATCCTATGGGAAATACATACAAATGTTTTCTTTTAGAGAACCACTGAATGGAATGAAACCAAACATGGCATGAATGTTCCTTATGAGGTGCTGACCAAGTGTTGTTACTTTGTAGCCGATCCATCATCCAAGATGGCCGCCAGCGGGGGACTTAGTTTAACAAAGGACCCTATGGGAAATGCATACAAATGACTTCTTTTAGAGAACCACTGAATGGAATGAAACCAAACATGGCATGAATGTTTCTTATGAGGTGCTGACCGAGTGTTGTTACTTTGAAGCCGATCCATAATCCAAGATGGCAGCCAGCGGGGGACTTAGTTTAACAAAGGACCCTATGGGAAATGCATACAAATGTCTTCTTTTAGAGAACCACTGAATGGAATGAAACAAAACATAGCATGAATGTTCATTAGGAGGTGCTGACCAGGTGTTGTTACTTTGTAGTTGATCCATCATCCAAGATGGCCGCCAGCGGGGGACTTAGTTTAACATAGGACCCTATGGGAAATGCATACAAATGACTTCTTTTAGAGAACCACTGAATGGAATGAAACAAAACATAGCATGAATGTTCCTTACAAGGTGCTGACCAAGTGTTGTTACTTTGTAGCCATTCCATCATCCAAAATGGCCGCCAGCGAGGGACATAGTTTAACATAAGACCCTATGGGAAAGGCATACAAATGACTTCTTTTAGAGAACCACTGAATGGAATGAAACAAAACATAGCATGAATGTTCATTAGGAGGTGCTGACCAAGTGTTGTTACTTTGTACTTGATCCATCATCCAAGATGGCCGCCAGCGGGGGACTTAGTTTAACATAGGATCCTATGGGAAATACATACAAATGTTTTCTTTTAGAGAACCACTGAATGGAATGAAACAAAACATAGCATGAATGTTCCTTACAAGGTGCTGACCAAGTGTTGTTACTTTGTAGCCGTTCCATCATCCAAAATGGCCGCCAGTGAGGGACTTAGTTTAACATAGGACCCTATGAGAAATACATACAAATGTCTTCTTTTAGAGAACCACTGAATGGAATGAAACCTAACATGGCAAGAATGTTCCTTATGAGGTGCTGACCAAGTGTTGTTACTTTGAAGCCGATCCATCATCCAAGATGGCAACCAGCGGGGGACTTAGTTTAACATAGGATCCTATGGGAAATACATACAAATGTTTTCTTTTAGAGAACCACTGAATGCAATGAAACCAAACATGGCATGAATGTTCCTTATGAGGTGCTGACCGAGTGTTGTTACTTTGAAGCCGATCCATAATCCAAGATGGCCGCCAGCGGGGGACTTAGTTTAACATGGGACCCTATGGGAAATACATACAAACGTCTTCTTTTAGAGAACCACTGAATGGAATGAAACCAAACATGGCAAGAATGTTCCTTATGAGGTGCTGACCAAGTGTTGTTACTTTGAAGCCGATCCATCAACCAAGATGGCAGCCAGCGGGGGACTTAGTTTAACATAGGATCCTTTGGGAAATACATACAAATGTTTTCTTTTAGAGAACCACTGAATGGAATGAAACCAAACATGGCATGAATGTTTCTTATGAGGTGCTGACCAAGTGTTGTTACTATGAAGCCGATCCATAATCTAAGATGGCCGCCAGCGGAGGACTTAGTTTAACATAGGACCCTATGAGAAATACGTACAAATGTTTTCTTTTAGAGAACCATTGAATGGAATGAAACCAAACATGGCATGCATGTTCCTTTCGAGGTGCTGACCAAGTGTTGTTACTTTGAAGCTGATCCTTCATCTATGATGGCTGCCAGATGGGGACAATGTTTAACAAAGGACCCTATGGACAATACATACAAATGTCTTCTTTTAGAGAACCACATACTGAATGGATTGAACCAAACATGGCATGAATGTTCCTTATGAGGTGCTGACTAATTTTTGTTACTTTGAAGCTGATCCTTCATCCATGATGGCCGCCAATGGGGGGACTTCCTTTAACATAAGACCCTATGGGAAATACATACAAATGCTTCTTCTAGAGGTGCACTGAATGGAATGAAACCAAAACATGGCATAAATGTTTCTTATGAGGTGCTGATTAAGTGTTGCTACTTTGTTGCTGATTTACTGTTCAAGATGGCCACCAGGATTTTTTTATTAAATTACAGGACCAATATTAAACCAAATTTGGCCTCACTCATTATTAGGGTATCTGTTATGATTTCAATCTATTTTTACATGATTTCCAAAACCAAAGTAGAATCAGGTGAGCGACACAGGCTCTTGAGAGCCTCTAGTTTAAGTTCATTAGACCACATTGAAACCTATGCTGTGTCAACTATTTAATCACAATCCAAATTCAGAGCTGTATCAAGCTTGAATGTTGTGTCCATACTTGCCCCAACTGTTCAGGGTTTGACCTCTGCGGTCGTATAAAGCTGCGCTCTGCGGAGCAACTGGTTCTAGTTTCCAGAAAATAACTTGTGTATAACTTTATTGATCTATCTGACATTGTACCACAAGGTTCCATTTAACAAAGGGAAGGCTGGGATTCAGTTTGGGGTTAATTTCCCCGAACATGTAGGAATAAGGGGGATAAAAGGGCCCAAAAGAAGCATTTTTCTAGTTTACAGACAATAACTTGTGTTTAAGTGTATAGATCTCTCTCAAATTATACTACAAGGTTTCTTACTACAAAGGAAAAGCTGGAATTGAGTTTAAGGGTTCTTGCTCCAAGGGGGGTTTCAATAAGTTGGGGGCCAAAATAAGCATTTTTGTAGTTTCCAGTTAATAACTTGTGTTTAAGTGTATAAATCTCTCAAAAATTATACCACAAGTTTCAATACTACAAAGGAATTTTTATGGGGTTTTATGGCTCGAATCATCTAGCAAATTGGGGCAAAAAACAAGAGTATTTTCTGGTTTAAGGCAATTTAGACAATTTAAAAGCAGTGTAAGGGAGGTAGTCCCAATTCCATTTTAAGAAAACTGTTATATATTGTTTGATTACCTCCCTTACACTGCTTGAAAATTATGTATTAAGAAATGATGATTGTCTTGAGATGATTAGCTGTGTAATTTTTTTTTAAAAGTTACAATTAATTGATATTTATTCTAACCATGACTGTATGTCATTTTATATTTTAATATTTTATGATGTATTTAAATGAGTAGTTATTGTTGCAAACTCCATTAGAAATTTGAATTGAGATTATTTTTGGAATAAGGGAAAGGGGAGGTGAAAACAAATTGGAGGGGTGGGGGGGATAAAATTTTTATCATTTCAGAAATTAAAAAGGAAATTTCTTCAAATATTTTTTTTTGAGGGGATTAATATTCAACAGCATAGTGAATTGGTTGGTATATCCGTAAACTATTGGTTTATAGTTACAAACATTGAGTTGGGTAACTTCTACAGGAAGTGGACACCATCATTGTTATGACCTGTATACTGACAAAATACATGTATTTTAACAATTGAATGGTCAATTATTGGATACTACGACATTATGTTTATCTTGGAGGAAATGGTATATCCCCACACCTCCATGATTTTAGGTCAGGATTATATTTAAACAGCTGTTTCTGCTTTTTTTTCAATCTGTTTCGTCCCTGCCAAGGGTACTCATCAGGTACCGTAAGGCAACCACGACAATTAATTTTATCCCAATGGTCTATTTTAAGTTATCGACATATCAGGTATAGGTTATATTGAAACAGACGTATTTAAGTTCTTAGTATTGTTCGCTAATATATGCGTTATTGCATGAAGAACTTTGACGAAAAGAATATGAAAAAGTTCTATCTTCCAGACCTAAGAAAAATTTCAGAATAGAAATATGAAGAGCTTACTTTATCTTAGCACTTGATAGAATTTCAAATTGTTGTTTCTTGCAGGCAAAACATGTATATAGATATAGGAAGATGTGGTATGAGTGCCAATGAGACAACTCTCCATCCAAATTACAATTTATAAAAGTAAACCATTATAGGTCAAGGTACGGCCTTCAACACGGAGCCTTGGCTCACACTGAACAACAAGCTATAAAGGGCCCCAAAATTACAAGTGTAAAACCATTCAAACGGGAAAACCAACGGTCTAATCTATATAAAAAACTAGAGGCTCTCAAGAGCCTGTGTCGCTCACCTGACTCTACTTGGGATTTTGAAATAAAATGAAAAAATGTAAAAATTGTAACAGATACATATAATGATGTTTGAGGCCAAATTTGGTTTAATATTGCTATGTTTGCTTTCATTCGATTCAGTGGTTCTCTAAAAGAAGACATTTGTATGTATTTCCCATAGGGTCCTTTGTAAAACTAAGTCCCCTGCTGGTGGCCATCTTGGAAAATGGATCAGCTACAAAGTAAGAACATTTGGTCAGCATCTCATAAGGAACATTCATGCTATGTTTGGTTTCATTCCATTCAGTGGTTCTCTATAAGAAGATATTTGTATGCATTTCCAATAGGGTCCTATGTTAAACTTAGTCCCCCGCTGGTGGCCATCTTGGATGATGGATTGGCTACAAAGTAACAACACTTGGTCAGCATCTCATAAGGAACATTCATGCTATGCTTGCTTTCATTCGATTCAGTGGTTCTCTAAAAGAAGACATTTGTATGTATTTCCCATAGGGTCCTATGTTAAACTAAGTCCCCCGCTGGCAGCCATCTTGGATGATGGATTGGCTACAAAGTAACAACACTTGGTCAGCATCTCATAAGGAACATTCATGCTATGTTTGGTTTCATTCTTAGCAATTGATAGAATTTCAAATTGTTGTTTCTTGCAGGCAAAACATGTATATAGATATAGGAAGATGTGGTATGAGTGCCAATGAGACAACTCTCCATCCAAATTACAATTTATTAAAGTAAACCATTATAGGTCAAGGTACGGCCTTCAACACAGAGCCTTGGCTCACACCGAACAACAAGCTATAAAGGGCCCCAAAATTACAAGTGTAAAACCATTCAAACGGGAAAACCAACGGTCTAATCTATATAAAAAACTAGAGGCTCTCAAGAGCCTGTGTCGCTCACCTGACTCTACTTGGGATTTTGAAATAAAATGAAAAAATGTAAAAATTGTAACAGATACATATAATGATGTTTGAGGCCAAATTTGGTTTAATATTGCTATGTTTGCTTTCATTCGATTCAGTGGTTCTCTAAAAGAAGACATTTGTATGTATTTCCCATAGGGTCCTTTGTAAAACTAAGTCCCCTGCTGGTGGCCATCTTGGAAAATGGATCAGCTACAAAGTAACAACATTTGGTCAGCATCTCATAAGGAACATTCATGCTATGTTTGGTTTCATTCCATTCAGTGGTTCTCTATAAGAAGATATTTGTATGCATTTCCCATAGGGTCCTATGTTAAACTTAGTCCCCTGCTGGCGGCCATCTTGGATGATGGATTGGCTACAAAGTAACAACACTTGGTCAGCATCCCATAAGGAACATTCATGCTATGCTTGCTTTCATTCCATTCAGTGGTTCTCTAAAAGAAGACATTTGTATGTATTTCCTATAGGGTCCTTTGTTAAACTAAGTCCCCTGCTGGTGGCCATCTTGGATAATGGATCAGCTACAAAGTAACAACACTTGGTCAGCATCTCATAAGGAATATTCATGCTACGTTTGGTTTCATTCCATTCAGTGATTCTCTAAAAGTAGATATTTGTATGCATTTCCCATAGGGTCCTATGTTAAACTTAGTCCCTGGCTGGCGGCCATCTTGGATGATGGATTGGCTACAATGTAACAACACTTGGTCAGCATCTCATAAGGAACATTCATGCTATATTTGGTTTCGTTCCATTTATTGGTTCTCTAAAAGAAGACATTTGTATGTATTTCCCATAGGGTCCTATGTTAAACTAAGTCCCCCGCTGGCGGCTATCTTGGATGATGGATCAGCTACAAAGTAACAACACTTGGTCAGCATCTCATAAAGAACATTCATGCTATGTTTGGTTTCATTCCATTCAGTGGTTCTCTATAAGAAGACATTTGTATGCATTTCCCATAGGGTCCTATGTTAAACTAAGTCCCCCACTGGCAGCCATCTTTATATGATGGATTGGCTACAAAGTAACAACACGTGGTCAGCACCTCATGAGGAACATTCATGCTATGTTTGGTTTCATTCCATTCAGTGGTTCTCTAAAAGAAGACATTTGTATGTATTTCCCATAGGGTCCTATGTTAAACTAAGTCCCCCGCTGGCGGCCATTTTGGATGGTGGATCGTCTACAAAGTAACAACACTTGGTCAGCACCTCATAAGGAACATTCATGCTACATTTGGTTTCATTCCATTCAGTGGTTCTCTAGAAGAAGTTCAAAATGTAAAAAAAGTTAACGACGACGGACGCCAAGTGATGAGAAAAGCTCACTTGGCCCTTCGGGCCAGGTGAGATAAAAACGAGAAAAGAGAAACATGTATAAATTACATAAACAAACAACAACTACTGTACATCTACTTAGGACAGGTGCAAACATTTGCATCGGATTAAACGTTTTAATGGTACCAAACCTTCTCCCTTTTTCTGAAACAATAGTATAACATAACAACATAGAAAAACACACAATAAAATAACATTTGGAAGGCTTAACTCAATCAAATAACGTAAATTAATCGTATATCTATATATGTTCATACACCTTTGTTGTGAAATGAGATATAAAACAATACAATATCTTGACTGTAATGTGTATTGCAAACTATTAGTATCAGTCATCAGGGCTTTTGTGTAAGCAGGGTACAACTTTTGAGAAAATATGGAATTGGGTTCTGCCTGTGTTTGTAATGATCGTAAACTTGTGTCGTCTGCCATCAAACTGTTAAGGATTCTACATTTGAACATTAATCTGAGTATGCATATATTTGTTAGAACGTTGGAAGTAAATGAAATAACAACAAATCAAATATGTTGTTTTAAAATGTCTAGGAGACAATATGATATCTATAAAATTCCAACAAATTCAAATGATGATTTTGATATAAATATGGTCGGAAATTAATAATATAACAATTATAGCCTGTTTATGAGGTCAGTACAGGATATATCGACCCAAAGAAGTATATCGACCTCAGACTTCGTCCTCAGTCAATATACTTCTTTCAGGTCAATATATCCTTGTATCGACCTCATACAAAGGCTATAAATGAATAGTATAAATTTTGCAATTATCTCAATAACTCTATGTGATGGCTTAAAGATTATTTACACTTTCGTCCTGGCGGAAAATGACAGCTTAAGTAATATTGATAGACGGATGCCAAGTGATGACTTGAGACCTACATGACATGTAAGCACATAGCAGATGACGATTGCCAAGTGATGCCCCTAACACATTCTATGTGATCCTGGATACTACTGTGCTTTATGATTACCTCAACCTCTAACTTAAATTTGAAGATCCTCTTATAAGAAAGTTTCTTCGAGTGTTGCTCTTTAATCCTAGAACACTGGTGCTAAATCATACTCAACATAAACATGTACATGTATATACAACATGGGACCAAATGCTAGTCTCTCGACTAGTCTTTAAGATGAAGAACCACAATTACTGACCATATAAAAACAAGAACCAGACAAATGACTACACCTGACACAAGTACTTCGACAAATTGATGAGGCTGTTGATAACAAAGGCTTGATAAAGTTTCACTTTTATTACATAATATAAGTTTGTCCTTTGGGAGTCAGTATCTCAGCTGGGAAAATTTTGCTCCAGGCCCTGTCGATGACACTTGGTATAGTGGGTAGCCAAGCCCCGTGGACATGGACACTCCGCCAATCAACTGGAACGCAGAGGGTTCCAAAAGGGGATGAAGCGATGCTTCATCTCGTAGCAGGGTGCTACAAAAAGGGGTTGAATTCATGGTGGAGAGATGAAAAGTAGTTAATTACTTGGGGATAAGAAGAGAAATTAACCAGTGGTGAATTTCGTAATGGTCCAAAGATCAGATGTGAAACAGCTAAGGGGACGACCATTTGATATTCTCGGGGGGGGGGGGGGGGGGGGGGGGGGGGGGGGGGGGGGAGCAGGAGGATTTGTTGTGGATCGGTTATTTATTTTTGTAAACTAAGAGGACAGATTATCTATTTTCTGCACTATTGAAGCAAGATTTTTCATTTTCATTAAAGCAAGGGACTGATTATTTATTTTCACAACTATATTTATAATATTCGAAAACATACAATTTTTAAATTATTTGTTTATTATAAATAATTCATGTATAGTCAAGTCATTATGTACCATTTAATCAGAATTAATTATTATCCTCTGCAGAAATGAATCTTTTTATATCCCCCAATGCATATACATGTATTGTATACATACACAGTATTAAAGTTTGGTTGAAACTAAGGCTCTTCTAAAAGTATTGGCAAATGTGTTTCGCGGAGCGGAGCGAGGCAAAATTTTTTTTGAAGGGTTTTTGAACCGCTGAAGGCCCAAGAAGCTATAGAACAAATGATGCAAAATCATGCCTTCTGGGTGTTCCCCAGACCCTTTCTTAAACTGAAAATGCAAGTTCTGTTTTAATAATTTTATGACAATATTTTGGTCTCAAAGCAAAATCACGTTATAGATTCAGTGTAAGACTTAAGTTTCTAGGAACAACATCAAAAGACAAATATGCATGATATTAAAAGCAAAAATGTAATTCACATAGTTAAGTCTGTGGCTGCTGTGTTTTTTTAAACTCATGATCAAGTTAATAATAAAATTACTAAATTACAAAATGAATGCAACACTAACAGAATACAGAAGGGCAATCAATGAACAAAAGACAAATAAATAAGAAATATTGATCCCGAAAAATCAGGGGCTACGTCTGAGGGAGAACAGAACTTGCTTCTTGCAAGGCACTCACGGTGAACACAATTTGATATGGAGACAAGCGTTTGGTTTTGAAATTTCCTACATGAGGCATTTGTCTCAATGTAGTTACGGCCCTGATTTAATAAAAGTGAGGTAAGTGATCCTGAGACAATTAACCTCAAGTTAAATGAAACCAATTTTCTGACATTTCAAGTATATTTAAATAATATTTATACTTTTATTATTAAAAGATATGGGAAGTGTTTCCCGATTTTTTTTTTTGGAAAAAAGATTAATTTATGAAGAATCTGGTGCCATCTCATACTTTCGATTAGACCTGCTGAGTTATTTATTTTCAATACATTGCAAGTCAGGTCATTTATTTTCAAACTACCACAGAACAAACCATTTATTTTTGTGATTATCAAGGCTGAGTTATTTATTTTCAAAATCTTCCTGGCCCCCCCAGAATATCAAATGGTCGTCCCCTAAGTGACCCCCAAGGAATTGAATAGGAAAGTGGTTGTAAGGGATGGACTTAAAGTTTAACACCTTGGACACCTTCAATACTTCACTGATAATGAAAGATAGAAATAATAAAATATGTGTTTAATCTTATGAATCAATTTTTAAAATAAAACAATCAAATACATGATATTTAAATACTCAAATATTTAATATCTACAGGTATGTATTGTACATGTGCAAATGTACACTATATGGTATAAAATAAGAATAAAAGCAAAAACTATTTACACAGGATATATGACATAATGGAAGAATCATCATGAAAACTTTTGTTGTGCTTTTTTAATTACATTTTTACTAGTTCTTATATAGCGACAATAACTATTAGAATTCCATCCACCTAATGTTTTAATTAAGTGATCCTCAATATTAGATTTTCCAGCTGTTGTAGCAGCTCCAATTCGAAATGAATGTCCGTTAAAGGACTGAGGATTATAACCATGCACAGATACCCAAAAGATGCTTTAACTAAATTCTGATAAAAAATTCTCTATCTAGAGCTTTATCCGATTCCTCAATAAATAAAGCACTATTATTTTGAAATTTAAACATGGTTTTCCTTAAGCTTACAATCAAATAATCATGTAAAGCTTTAAATGGACAACAATCATGATTTAGCTTGTGAAGTTGAATATCAACACCCATCCTGAAAGGGTCAGTTTTAGAATGCTTTAAATGTAAAATAACATAGTCAGAATAAAATAAAACATCAGATATACATATATTGTTGGTACAATCAAATGATTTTGACCTGCGAATTGTAAACTCGCCACAGCGTAAGAAACCATAAAAAGCTACTGTAAAAGCAGTATATAACATCTGGTCAATAAAAGGTGAAAAAATTCCTTCTTTAAGCTTAACACATAAATTTTGAAGGATATCAAAGGTTATAGGTAAGTGATCTTTAATGATCGGTTTCTGTAATCTTTTAATAGAATTAAAAAACAAGGACAGTCTCTCTAAATTGTTACTAGAATTATTGAAAGGAGAACATATATTATCCTTTAAGCATCTATGTCTAATTCCACATATGTATAGTTTAATTGTAGAGTACTGTAGTTTGAGATGTTGAAAGCAATGTGTAGCAAAATATATCAATAGATCTTCTGACACTGAATAAGGCTTGCTGTCAGTAACACTTATACCATTTAATAGCAAAAATTAAAAAAAATGATTATAACCAGTCTCATATGACACTTTTGTCCCTTCAGAAATAGAAAAATCCATAATTTACTAACTGTTTCACTCAGTGCCACATTACTTCTGATGCACTTGGAACTATGCATGGACTCTGTTCTGCTTTTGGGGCCAGCTTGTGAAAACGGGTGATCTGTAAACAAGACAAAGCATCCGAAATTTGGTTTTTTATAATCTGGAACATGTTTTGCACTAAAGGCTATAATTGTATAGTATAAATTTTGCAATTATCTCAATAACTGCATGTGATGGCTTAAAGATTACAACGTTGTAAGGAATCATGGAAACATGGTGGTGTAGGAGTAGAACTAGAACCCGTCTTCTTATTCATAATATATTTAAGTCTTAATAATTATGTAACAGTAAAAATGGTCCGGCAGTAAAATTTGTCCGCCAGACTTTTTTCCCTAGTTAATCAAGTCCATGACCATTATTTTACTAGAAATGTAAGTCCCAGGACAAATTTTCCTAGGAAAATAAGTCCATAGCTAGTAAAATATGTCTGGCACTTATTTTCCTAGGAAAAATTGTCCTAAAACTTGTTTTTTTCTAGTAATTTTTATTATATCATAAAAATTATTGAAAATTAAAAAAACAACATATTTTCTTAGTTAAGATTGTAAAGTTTCATCAATTGTTTCCTATTAAAATAGAGGACATGGCTGGACGTTATAACCTAGGCATGTTAATGACGTGGACATGATGTCCTAGGAAAATTAGTCTGGGGACACAAAATTTTTTATTAAAATATTAATACACAGCTCTAAAACAATATTAGAACATGACATTTAAATTTACCTTTCAAAATAAAGGGAATGGACATTTTTACCTAAGAATATTAATGACATCAACATGATTTCCTAGGAAAATTAGTCTGGGACATGAATTTTATTAAAATATTAATGCTCAACTCTTTAACAATATTAAAACATAAACATTGAATTTTCATTGTTTACATGTAAATAATTTGTTTCATTAAAATATTCCTTTTAAAATAAAGGGCATGGATATTTTTTACCTAAGAATATAAATGACATGGAAATGATTTCCAAAGGAAAATTAGTCTGGGGACAAACATTTTATTAAAAAAATTGATACACAACTGGTAAAAAATATTAAAACATAACATTTATATTTACCTTTTAAAATAAAGGGCATGGACGTTTTTACCTAAGAATATTAATGACATGGACATGATTTCCTAGGAAAATTAGTCTAGGAACATGAATTTTATTAAAAATATAAATACACAACTCTTAAACAATAGTAAAACTTAACATTTAAATTTCCAATATTGTTTAAATGTAAATGATTTGATTCATTAATATTTTTCCTATAAAAAAAAGGACATGGACGTTTTTACCTAGGAATATTAATGACATGGTCTTGAATTCCTAGGAAAATTAGTCTGGGGACATAAATTACTAACATCGGACTAAAAATACTAGTAAATTCTGTAACCTGATGGACTTTTTATACTAGTAATATGTGTCCGCCCGGACATATTTTACCAGGACAAATTTATCTCTTACATTTACACCCAACAGTATTAAAATTAGATTTTTATGCTGACAAATTTTTGTTCGTCCCTCAGTGGGATATATATGTAATATGTATATAACTATATACACGAAACAGTGTGTCCCTGTATTTAATGATTTTAAATTCTGATGCTACACCCTTAAAAAATGGTGGTTTGGGAAACATGCTTTTCGTTCAATTTTTTTACATTAATAAGACTGTTTTCTCGCTTGAATTGTTTTACATTGTCATTTCAGGGCCTTTTATAGCTCACTATGTGGTATGGGCTTTGCTCATTGCTGTAGGCTGTACATAATGACCAATAGTTGTTAATTTCTGTGTCATTTTGGTCTCTCGTGGAGAGTTGTCTCATTGGCAAGCATACCACATCTTCTTTTTTTATATTTTAACCATCAACTCCGAATCACATGCCCTTGCAATTCGCATTTCTTAATGTTGGAAGTCTTAATGATAAGTCCTTGGAAAGTGTTGCATACTTTCTGTTTTGTTGTAGTAATAATCATAAAAAATATAAGGAAATTTAAGGATTAAGTAGAAGCCACTGACTACCTAATCACTTATAATTATAAATTATAAAGTTGACACATGTATTTTATAAATGTAAAACAACGGTTTCTTTTCCTTGACCTTCAGCAAGACAAGCTAATATATATATTATTTAGATTTTTGATTATGTTCAGTCCTTATAATTTGTAGTTTCGTTTTTACCATGGCACTGTCGATTTGTCAACAACTTGTGGCTCGATTTATCATTAGTATCTTCTCTGTCTTCTCTGTTACATGTCTATGCTGGTACGACTGTTACCAAGCTCAAGTAACAATTTCACCTTTCAACTGACTTCATTTATATATATATATGGTCATGTAAAATAATAATGCATAGTTCATATGTTGGAGCCATAATCATGTTAGGAATGGAGCTGTCATATCAGAAACTGAAACTGCTTCTATAGTTAATGTATGCACCAATGATATTTTGCTTAATTTCTTCCGTTAACTATTCTCACATCGATATCTGACACAGATTTCTTTTGAAATGGGTTTTACCGTGTATTGGTTTTTTCTACATAAGCTAAAGTATGAGAGAAAGATTTGACATCTCATAAAACATTTTAAACCTCACCGCATTTCTTGCGCCTGTCCCAAGTCAGGAGCCTCTAGCGTTTTTAAATTAATGTAAGTCTTGTGATTTTTATACGACCGCAAAAAAATTTTTGTGGTCGTATATTGGTATGACGTTGGCGTCGTCGTCGTCGTCGTCCGGCGTCGTCCGTAGACACATTGGTTTTCGCACTCTAACTTTAGTTTAAGTGAATGGATCTCTATGAAATTTTACCACAAGGTTCAATACCACAAAAGGAAGGTTGGGATTGATTTTGGGGGTTATGGTACCAACAGTAAAGGAATTAGGGGCCAAAAAGGGGCCAAAAATAAGCATTTTTGTAACTTCCAGACATAACTTGTGTGTTAGTGTATGGATCTCTCTGACATTGTACCACAAGGTTCCATATCACAAAAGGAATGCTGGGATTGATTTTGGGGGTATTTGCCTCAAAATTTTAGGAATTAGGGGCAAAAAAAAGGGGCAAAAAACAAGCATTTTTCTAGTTTCATGACAATAACTTGTATGTAAGTGTATGGATCTTTATGAAATTGTACTACAAGGTTCCATATCACAAAGGGAAAGCTGGAATTGAGTTTGGGGGTAATTGCCGAAACGTTTAGGAATTTGGGGCCAAAAAGGGCCAAAAATAAGCATTTTTCTAGTTTCCAGACAATAACTTGTGTTCAAGTGTATGGATCTCTCTGAAATTGTACTGCAAGGTACCATACCACAAAGGGAAGGCTGGGATTGATGATGGGGGTAATTGCCTCAATATTTTAGGAATTAGGGGCAAAAAAGGGGCAAAAAACAAGCATTTTTCTAGTTTCAGGACAATAACTTGTGTGTAAGTGTATGGATCTTTCTGAAATTGTACTACAAGGTTCCATATCACAAAGGGAAAGCTGGGTTTGAGTTTGGGGGTAATTGCCCTAAATGTTTAGGAATTTGGGGCCAAAAAGGGGCCAAAAAACACATTTTTCTAGTTTCCAGACAATAACTTGTGTTCAAGTGTATGGATCTCTCTGAAATTGTACTGCAAGGTACCATACCACAAAGGGAAGGCTGGGATTGATGATGGGGGTAATTGCCTCAATATTTTAGGAATTAGGGGCCAAAAAGGGGCAAAAAACAAGCATTTTTCTAGTTTCAGGACAATAACTTGTGTGTAAGTGTATGGATCTTTCTGAAATTGTACTACAAGGTTCCATATCACAAAGGGAAAGCTGGGTTTGAGTTTGGGGGTAATTGCCCTAAATGTTTAGGAATTTGGGGCCAAAAAGGGGCCAAAAAACACATTTTTCTAGTTTCCAGACAATAACTTGTGTTCAAGTGTATGGATCTCTCTGAAATTGTACTGCAAGGTACCATACCACAAAGGGAAGGCTGGGATTGAGTTTAGGGGTGATGAATCATAAGGGGGTTCAAAAAATTTGGGGGGGGGGATTTTTTTTTTTTTCCTTTTTTTTTTCTTTTAAAATTTTCCATTTTAAGTTGGTTATTTCTGATTTATATTTAAAAGCAAATAATAATGATATGGTAGGAGATACACACCAAACAGGATGTGTAAAGTATTATATAATAAGTATTGTGCAATAGCAAGAAATTTTCAATTGCACAGTATTGCACAATAGCAAGAAATCTTCAATTGCACAGTATTGCGCAATAGCAAGAAATCTTCAATTGTACAGTATTGCGCAATAACAAGAAATATTTAATTGCACAGTATTGTGCAAAAGAAGATACTTAGTATAAATTGCTTATTTCTTGACCAATTTCAATGGGGTTTTATTCTTGAATTATTGGGGTTCTTTGATATGCCGAATCTAACCGTGTATTTAGATTCTTAATTTTTGGTTCCGTTTTCAAATTGGTCTACATTAAGGTCCAAAGGGTCCAAAATTAAACTTAGTTTGATTTTAACAAAAATTGAATTCTTAGGGTTCTTTGATATGCTGAATCTAAACATGTATTTAGATTTTTGATTATGGGCCCAGTTTTCAAGTTGGTCCAAATTTGGGTTCAAAATTAAACTTTGTTTGATTTCAACAAAAATTGAATACATGGGGTTCTTTGATATGCTGAATCTAACCATGTATTCAGATTTTTGATTTTTGGGCCCCGTTATCAACTTTGTCCACATTGAGGTCAAAAGGGTCCAAAATTAAACTTTTTTTGATTTCATCAAAAATTGAATTCTTGGGGTTCTTTGATATGCTGAATCTAACCATGTATTTAGATTTTGGATATTGGACCATAAAAGGTGAATGTCCAATTTGAAATTTTTAAGTTCTTAGACCACATTCATTCTGTGTCAGAAACCTATGCTGTGTCAAATATTTAATCACAATCCAAATGCAAAGCTGTATCAAGCTTGAATGTTGTGTCCATACTTGCCCCAACTGTTCAGGGTTCGACCTCTGCGGTCGTATCAAGCTGCGCCCTGCGGAGCATTTTATTTTTAATTGAGTTCGTTTATAATATGTTTTGGAGTTTCAAGAGTGTGATGTCCATTTTCACTAAACCAATAAACATTTTTGTTAGGGGTCAGCTGAGGGTGTCATTGAGTTGATTTTTTAGGTGTAACTTGTGTTTGAGATGTTCTTGTAATGTTTTTTTGGTCAGGTTTATTTCTATTTGACACATTCCCCATTTATATTCTCAATATATATTTTATCTTTGTGATAATTTATACTCATGTATAGTCGTGAAATTTACATTTGTCCTTTTGTATGTGTCTGTCATGAAACATACCAGGAGCCTGTTCATATAATTTTTTTTTGTTAGAACTACTGCGCTCAGTGGAAGGGAGGGTATGACATAATATCATATACTTTAGTTCAAAAAAGACATTGGATGGGGAGGGGGTTAACATTTTTGTTGCGTTTGATTTTTTTTTTGGGGGGAAAGGGGGTGCCAATCTCTTTTTTGGTTTTCTGTTGCCGCACATTTTTTAAAATCTGGATCAGCTTTAATATTCAGATGTATATCGTGTACAGCTTTTCATATTTTCTTGAGGGGCTTATAGTTTTCGAAACCAGAAAGTGGCTGTAAAATAGTTTTCTGCATATTTTCAACGTTTTTAAGAAATAACTGCTGTATATAACAATTTTTCATTATTTGATGCAATGATTTACCTAAGTTTTTCTTTCATAGACTTGTATGCAATATTTTTGCACTTTCCATCATAGAAATTTTATTATTATATTTGATTTTTTTTAGATTCAGATTGCCCCATATCACAAGAAACTTGCAAAACTTCTATGCAGACTAGTGTAGGATTTAAAAGTGTCCCTCATGAAATAATGTCCACTGGACATTATTTTATAGAAAATACTGTCCATGGACACAATTTCCTATGAAAATATGTCCTCAGGTATGAAAAAGTGTCCATATTTAATACTATAGTTCTGTCCAGGGTGACATTTTATCTCAGGATATTGTGTCCACCAGGACAATTTTCGATATGATTAAAGTATTAAATGATATCCATTGCCTTGTAGACTATACGTATTGTAACCTACATGTATAATTGCGAACTTTAATACATTGTTACTTTGACAAAGAGTTGTTTCATTGGTACTCATACCATCCTTATCTCCTTATTTATATTTTTTAATATGTACATGTAAACATGTATAATGATTTAAGTTCAAACAAGTAACAGATGCTTTTCAGTATTATTTTCCAAGGACATGGACATAATTTAATAACAACAATTACAAAATATTGTCCTGTAGATGGACCATATTTCATACATGGCATGGACATTATTAAATACCAAAATTCAATGAAAAACTGTCCAAGTGGACGCATTTTCACAGGTCACTATTATGTCTTACACTAGCAGAGGTAAACAATTGTTCTAAATAATATATCTGATGAGTTAATATTTTTAATTCTAAGTTACTTAGTGAGTAGTTGTTAGTCATGCACTAGTGATTATGTTTATTGTTAAACTTCTTCATGGATCAATGAGTTATAACCCCTTAACTTTTTTAAAAAGTTTGGGGTATGACAACTCTCTCTTCTTTTTAATGATTGGTTCATTAAGTCATATGTCTTTTTTTTGGAGTGAATTCTTTTGTTTGGTTAGAATTTGCTTATATCTTGGTCTGAGTGGTGCTGATATCATTTGTATTCAAATTTAATGGACATCTTTGATTTTATATAAAAAAGGTCAGTTTTCTATTATTACATTTGTAATATCTCATATTTCAACATATATACTAATGTGATTTTATTGTATAAATGATCAAAATAAATGATTCAGATATCATAGATATAGGAAGATGTGGTATGAGTGCCAATGAGACAACTCTCCATCCAAATAACAATTTATAAAAGTAAACCATTATAGGTCAAGGTATGGCCTTTAACACAGAGCCTTGGCTCACACTGAACAACAAGCTATAAAGGGCCTATGGATATTTTAAAGATTAAACATGTCAGGAATAACCATTAATTTGTGGAGTTTATTGAATCAATTACATCAATGGTGGAGAAATGTATGAATTCATGTTACAATATTTCTTTAAGGTTTTTTTTTTTATATAAAAACTGCATTATACCACATTATATGTCAATAGATGAATTATACCTTAACTGAGATACAATTCACTGACCAATTAATGGTTAGTCCTGGCCTGTTTAAACACAGATGTATATGAAATATTTGTAAAGGTATATGACCCCTTTAATGAGGGGCTTGATGGGGGGGTCTCATCACGATTCACG